TACTTCGTAGGCGGAAACTTTTAGTTACTTAACGACACTGTCTCATTCATACTTATTCCCCTACCCCCCCCCCCCTCCCCCCCTCTCCATTCTCCATTACCTTTTAGCTCTTACTCTTAATGAACACTTTGGGTTCTCATCGATATCGAGAGTATGAAGGTGTTTAGGTAAATTTATAAATAAGCTAATAAGTTTTGACTTATCTACCCGCTTGATTATGAGTTCGTTTCGATTAGCTGATAAGCATTAGGTGCTGAAAAACACTTGTAAGTGCTGAAACTGATTTAATAAATAAGCAGTTACGTATTTTGATACAAGTGGTGAAATTGATAATAAGTTGCTGCAGTATTTGATAAAAAAGTGCTGATAAGCTCTTTTTCTGTTAAAATAACTTAAATAACCTTAGAACTGTTTACACTTATAAGGGCGTAATTTCTTTAAACTTTTAGATTCCAGATCGGCTCAAATACAAAATATTTTATTTGTCATTTTATTTTAAATAAACTGTGCTTAGATAAGATAATTTTATGATAAATATAATTTATTTTATGATAAGCATATAATCATAAGTTATAATAATTATAAATTGACAAAAGTTTCTCAGTAAAAAATAAACCTGAATAGGATAAATTATTTGAAGAGAAACAAATATTGTCTTTATTACCACAATACTTAGAAAGCAATACGCCAAAAATTTGATATATTCTCATTTATTACATATAGTTCAAAGATTAATACACAATTCATCCATCGCCGGTACCAAATCTCGCTAAGATTCTTGTACCACCTGCAGTTTCGGCGAATATCTGATTTTCTTCTTCGCTTGGGCCTTCGATCACCTGCGATTTCATCCATCACCGGGGACTACTAATTCTTGTTTGGGTATAGTGTAAGCGGCGCCGCCGAAAACACCACCGCGAAGAACACCTCCAACATTCCTTTAAACAGCCGCCAATAACCACCGTAAAGTCAACACCGCTGTTGATTTTGGCACTCTGACGAAGAATTTTTTAAAGGGAATTTTATGTTTTCTTACGGAGATTAATTCAATCAATCTGTTCTTCGTCTACTTTCGACAAAGCAGCAAAAAAGTGTTGGAATATTTCTCTGTCAATTTCTTTGTCAATTCAAACGGAAATCTTGAAATAGAGGAATAATTTTTTTTGGCAGCATTCAGCGGATTTGGAAGCGCGTCCGGACATCCCCACTGTGATCCAGGTTCCATCTTTCTTGAATTATATTTGCGCACATCTATTTACTATTGCCTTGTCGGCAATTTTGATTGGATTGATTGCTTTTTCTATCTTTTCTACTAGTGTTCTAAACTTAAGGTTTCATCTATTCATTTTAATTCTGTGTTTGCATAGGGGTAGTTTCGTAGTCGTGGTAGATTCATTGTTCTAGGGCCTGCTCGCGTTTCTGTTCTCGTGGTCGCTTGTTTTTAGCTCTCGGGTTCGCAGCTGGTAGTCTTTGTTCCCATTTTTGGTGCTTAGTGGTAGTGTTTACCTAATACCTTTTGCTTATAGTGGCGGTAGTGAACGATGTGAGAGTAAGGTCATGTCCTCGGGTGGGGCTGGGGTGCGTCCAGGGGTGGAAGGGGGTANAAAGCCTCTAGGCTGAGAATTGGGTCTTGGAACATTGGGACGTTGACGGGGAAGTATATAGAGTTAGGTAAGATTCTTCAGAAGAGAAAGATCAACATAACGTGTGTTCAGGAGACTAGATGGAAAGGTACTAGGGCACGAGATGTAGACAAGTTTAAACTATGGTACTCAGGGAGCGCTGGGGGTAAGAATGTGGTAAGTATTTTAGTAGACAGGGACCTTAGGGAACTCGTGGTTGAGGTTAGGAGGGTAAATGATAGGTTGATGAGTATTAAGCTGGTAGTTGGTCGGTTTACTGTAAACGTGATTAGTGCATACGCTCCTCAGGTAGGTTTGGACCAGGAGGTCAAGAAGCAATTCTGGGAGGATTTGGACGAAATGGTGCGTAGTATCCCGCACACAAAGAAGTTGTTCATTGGCAGAGATTTAAATGGTCATATTGGGACTAGTGCTAGGGGTTATGATGATGTGCAACGGGTATGGCTTTGGGGATAGGAATGAGGGAGATAATTCACTGTTGGATTTTGCTAGAGCTTTCGATTTGGTTATAGCTAACTCGAGTTTTTCGAAGAGGGAAGAGCACCTGATCACTTTTCGAAATTCAACGGGTGAGGCTCAGATTGATTATCTTCTCTACAGGAAATGCGATAAAGGTCTGTGCACTGACTGCGAGGTCATCCCAAATGAGCACCTCACGACTCTACATAGGCTCCTAGTTATGGACCTGGAGATCAAGAGGAGTAAGAGAAAGAGGGCGGGGTGCAGGCAACCTAAGATTAAGTGGGGTAACTTGACCAAGGACAAAGCTCAGGAGTTAGGGGAGAAGTTGTAGGCTATGAGGGCCTGGATGAGTATGGGGGACGCGTCTAGTATGTGGTTCACGACTGCGGATTGCATTTGGGTAGCTGCTAGAGAGTTCTTAGGGGTCACGAAGGGCTCTCCTGGGGGTCATAAAGGGGACTGGTGGTGGAATGGAGAGGTTCAAGGTAAAGTGGAAGCTAAGAAAGATGCTTATTTGAAGCTAGTAGAGAGTACAAACGAGGAGGAAAAGAGGACTTATCGGGAGTGTTACAGAAAGGCAAAGAAAGAGGCAAAGTTAGAAGTTATGACGGCTAAGAACACGGCGTTTGCTCGTCTGTACGAGGAGCTCGACGACAAAGGCGGGGACAAGAGGTTGTACCGGTTGGCCAAGGTGAGGGAGAGAAAAGCCCGCGACTTAGATCAAGTCAAGTGCATCAAGGACGAGGATGGCAAAGTGTTGATGGACGAGGTAATCATTAGGAGAAGATGGCAGACATACTTCCATAAACTGTTGAATGAGGAGGGGGATAGACGCATTGTGCTGGGTGAGTTGGAGCACTTCGAGAGTCGGCGGAGATTTTGGGTACTGTAGGCGAATTACGGTAGAGGAAGGTGGAAGGGGCGATGCGTAAGATGTGCAGGGGCAGAGCGACGGGGCCAGACGAAATCCCGGTGGAATTCTGGAAGAGCGCGGGGCGGGCAGGTTTGGAGTGGCTCACTGGGCTGTTTAATGTTATTTTTAAGACAAAGAAGATGCCCGAAGAATGGAGGCGGAGTACGATGTTTCCGCTTTACAAGAACAAGGATAATATCCAAAATTGCAACAATTATAGGGGTATCAAGTTATTGAGTCACGCTATGAAGGTTTGGGAGAAGGTGGTGGAGGCTAGGGTGAGGAGGTGCATGTCTATTTCCGAGAATCAGTTTGGATTCATGCCGGGGCGATCGACTACGGAAGCGATTCATCTGGTAAGGAGATTAGTGAAGCAGTACAAGGAGAGGAAGAAGGATTTGCATATGGTGTTTATTGACATTGAGAAGGCATACGATAAAGTTCCGAGGGAGGTCCTCTGGAGGTGTTTGGAGGTTAGGGGCGTTCCGGTAGCGTACATTAGGGTGATTAAGGATATGTATGATGATGCTAAGACTCGGGTGAGGACTGTGGGTGGTGACTTGGAGCATTTCCCCGCGGTGATGGGGTTGCACCAGGGATCAGCTCTTAGCCCATTTTTATTTGCCTTGGCGATGGATGTACTGTCGCGTCACATCCAAAGGGAGGTGCCTTGGTGCATGCTATTTACCGATGATATAGTGTTGATTGACGAGACGCGTAGCGGAGTTAACGCGAGGTTGGAGGTTTGGAGACAGACCTTGGAGTCTAAAGATTTCAATCTGAGTAGAACCAAGACAGAATACTTGGAGTGCAAATTCAGTGACGGGACCCATGATGCAGACGTAGAGGTTAAGCTTGATGCTCAAGTTATCCCCAAGAGAGAGAGTTTTAAGTATCTCAGGTCTATTATCCAGGGTAACGGGGAGATTGACGAAGATGTCGCACATCGCATCGGAGCGGGATGGATGAAGTGGAGGCTCGCTTCCGGTGTTTTGTGTGATAGGAATGTGCAGCTAAGACTTAAGGGTAAGTTCTATTTAGTGGTGGTTCGACCAGCTATGCTGTATGGGGTTGAGTATTGGCCAGTCAAGAACTCCCACGTGCAGAAGATGAGAGTAGCAGAGATGAAGATGTTGAGATGGATGTGTGGGTGTACCAAGAGAGATAGGATTAAGAATGAAGCTATCCGGGACAGAGTGGGAGTAGCCTCCGTGGAGGACAAGATGCGGGAGTCAAGGCTGAGATGGTTCAGACATGTTAAGAGAAGAAGCATTGATGTTCCTGTCAGGAGGTGTGAGAGGTTGGCCATGGAGAGTTTGAGAAGAGGTCGAGGTAGGCGTAAGAAGTACTGGGGAGAGGTGATTAGGCAGGACATGGCGTTGCTTCAGCTCACTGAGGACAAAACCCTTGATAGGAGGGTGTGGAGGTCGAGGATTAAGGTAGAAGGTTAGTAGGTAGTTTGTAGTTGTTCACTGATAGTCTTAGTAGCATGCATGTCTCTTCATATGCTTAGATTTTTTTAATATTACGTTATGTGATTTTGTTCGCCTCAGGTATTGAATTCTCTGTTGCTATTATTTGGTACTACATATCCTTTATCTCTCCTTTTTCTTTTCTCTTACATCTTTCTTCCTTCCTTGCTTTCCTCTTCTTCCTTCATGAGCCGAGGGTCTATTGTAAACAGCCTCTCTACCTGCATTAGGTAGGGGTAAGGTCTGCGTACAGACTACCCTCCCCAGACCCCTCCTGTTGGGATCAAACTGGGTTTGTTGTTGTTATTGTAAAGGAATAGAGAATTTGCTTATCTTAAATAGTCAATGAGAATTGCAGACTTGAAGAAGTGGCGGGGGGAGGGGAGGGGGAGGGGGGTTTAGGGTTGAATACTTGAGGTAGTGAGTATCGATGTAGGAGTTTTGTTCTAAAAAGAAATATCTTAAGGATAAAATAGTAAAAATCTTGGTCAAACTTAAAATGCTTATAAGCTAAAAACTCATAAGTTGGGGTTGACCAGCTTATGGCTTTTGGCTTATTTTTGACTTCTAAGCACTTGGTTTATAAGCACTTTTAACTTTACCAAATGCATAGATAAGCCGAAAAGTGCTTATAAGCTTATAAGCTTAGCCAAACACCCTCTATATTTAGCGACTATAAGTCAAAATCAACCAAACAAATTATTATTTGGTTGCTCAAAACTTAGAGTTTTTAAATTTAGTTAAAATAAATTATTTGACTAAGATATTTACTATTTATTCATAATAACCTTCTACCCCCTACATCTCCCT